GTACCTAATTTTTAGACTTCTTCTAAAGCTACAGTAATCAAGGCAGTGTTGGTGTAAGGAAAGACATATAGATCATTTGAATAAAACAGAGAATCTCTTCTAGGTTGTATTTTACAAAATCAAGGCTGATGTAAAATAGAGGTTTTGGGCCGGGAATTTAGCTCAGTGCTTCTGCTGCCTGCCTTGCAAGCACAAGGATCCGAGTTCAATCCTCAGTACCAAAAAAAAGAAAGAAAAAATCAATAAAATAGAGGGTTTTAAAAAGTTGACTTCTCTCTATATTTCTCTAAATGTAAGTTAAAGAGTAACAAGACAAGGCCACAACCTTGGTTTTATAATAAAGAGGAAAAATGAACAAAGATCTTATCTAGCAATCTGTACCCTTTCTCCCCCCCCCCCCACTCTTACTGGTTATGAATCTGTAGTGCTAACTAACAGGAAAAAAGTATTCAGAGTAGTCTGGAGTAAAGAAAATATTTTACAATTTACATGAAACAAGTGCTAAATGATATTCCCTAGGGAAAATTCTAACTGACTAGTCAATACTTAGGAACCCAAAACCAAGAAATAGAGATTCTTCTATCCAGCCTGGCCAGTGCACCTAACAGTGCACTGTGATTTAGTGTTAACTGTTTTATGTGTTCGGTACATTTTCTTGTCTGTCTGCCTGCTAAGGTATGTTTTTAACAATTGGTTAAAGTACCTACAGTTGCTTCTTTTAAAAATATTTTGAGGCGCCGGGGATTTAGCTCAGTGGTTCTGCTGCCTGCCTCCCAAGTGCAAGGTCCTGAGTTTGTTCCCTATACTAAAAAAACCACAACATTTTGAGCTCATATCAATTTCTTTTCTTTTTTATTTTTCTTTTTGCCTTTACAGACTTCTGGCTCTGTTAGAGCTTTCATTAAAAAAGTTATACAGGGCCGGGGATTTAGCTCAGTAGTTCCACCACCTGCCTTGCAGGTGCAAGGTCTTGAGCTTGATCCCCGGTACCAAAAAAAAAGTTATACAAATATTCAAGGGTTATCAAACTCCCTTAAAACATTAGAGGGTAAAAACCACTAGGCTGAAGATTTATCTAAACTTGAAAATAAAAGCCTTATGGCAACATAAAAGTTATATAATTTAGGCTAATATTTTATCTGTGTCATCTTTAGGGTATATTTTATCCTCCAAAAGTTCTATTTGGTTGGCTTAGGGGTACGTGGGCACCCATGATACTAACCGCAATGCTTTTTGTCACGTGCTTAACAACGAAAGTGGTTGGTAAGAGAAAAGCAAAGATGTCTTTAAAGTTAGTAACATGTTTTACCCAGGTTGTTAGCCAATCAAGACAACATTTATCTTAAAAATGGGTTTTATAAATACAATGTCCACTGTTTTCTGTGAATAACAACTTAGAGTTTTTCCTTGGGGATTATACCTATATCTATTTATTCTGCCAAAAACAGTCTACGCATTTCAGCAGTTTGTCTTACTAATAAATGTCTGGAAGCTCATGGTCACCATTTTGTATACATTTTTGGCAATATATATATATAATATATTATATACATTATGTTATATAAACATATATATTTGGCTCAAAATGTTAACTATGCTATACTTTGGTCCTCATGAGTAATTATAGTAACTGTTAGAATGAATAAATAATAAAGAGAAATGAAATTAATGGTTATAAATATCCATAACATCCAAGTCATCAGTTGCTAGATATAAATTCAAGTATTCATGGCTTCTTCAAATTTATAAACAATTAATAGATTGCTAATAATTAAATGTTTTCATAAATTATTAATACATATCTAAAGCTCTAAGATGTCTTTCCTAAGTTTCCAAGCGTTAAAATCCCAATATATAATTCTAGGAGCTGTGGAGCGAGCAGACAGAAGTCGCCTCTGTGGCTGAAACAGCAGCTGCCTGAGCCAATTTGCTTCAGTTTCTCCACTGCTGGGGAGCTTCTCTGATTTCCCCGGTTTATTGTCCCCACCCCAACAAATATTATCAAAATTTACTATTATATATAATGCATTTGGCTATAATTAAAAGATTCAAGAGTTTTCTATATCTAGAGCAGTAAGTTTTTTAAAGATATTAAGGTGCTATTTATTGATTAAACTTACAAAGGAGGGAGGAGCAGGGCAAGGGAGGGAGGGGAGGCAAATTAGAAAGAATGAAGATGTGTCATGTACACACACCAGCTCTGCACGATGGATACCAACGTTACATACTGAAAATGTACACTAATACAAATTCAAAACTCATCTAAAACACAAAGGTTTTGTGTTTTATCAAGATAATTTCATGTGTTTTCCACCGTTAGGCTTTTGGTTACTTAAAAAAGTAAGTTTTAAGAATTAAAGATGAAATGCTGGCTTGTTGTAAAATGTTTTCAATACGCAGTTCAATTGGTTAAATAGACAACTATTATATAAAATGTGCTGTGAGTCTAAGCTTTTAATGTTAGGTTTATAGAGTTAAGATTACAGAGATTTAATGCATATGAAATATCTAATAAATGCTCTCATTTATACAATATACATGGCATCTGGACCTTAGACATATAAAATGATCAAAATTGTTGGCATCTCCACTGTTTAAATTTGGTACAATCCAGTACTGCTATTTAAAACATGGTCTATATCCACTGGCTTTGACTAAACAGGCATTTTATTATTGTATAAATAACATACTTATAAATTGGATAATAAGTTTATTTGTGGTCATAAATACTGTTTCCTAAACTTGTAAAAAGCCCAAAGGTATCTGTTGACTCTTGTCAGTGCTGTTACACCATGTAAACCTGACAAAGAAATCTAAATGTTGCCTTAAGAGTAAGGACATTTAATATATGTAAAAGATTTGTATATAGCTGTGATGCTAATTATTGCTAACTCCTTGATATATTAAATACATTTATGTTCCTCAAATGTATAAGCCTTCGAAAATGAAAAACTTAGGAAAACATCTTACCATACATGGGGTCTTCAAGCAAAGTTCTTTATGATGAAAGATGTTTTCAGGCTTATGTGTATGTGTTCCCAATTGCATTCTGATAATTAAATGTGCCTGAGCTCTATGCAGGCCAGGCAGTGTCACTCTAATGTTTAAAGATGGACCCATTAATCATGCATAAAGTAGATCAAGAAGTAAGTACATTCTACTTAAAAAGGCATCTTATTTTTTTAAAAAATGCAAATTTAGATGATAATTTGTTTTTGTCACTTAATATTTTGTAATTGGATAAAGTTAAATTATTGACAAGTTATTTTATATTCAAGTGAGAAATTAAATTACTTTTAGAGATAATGAAATAAGAAATAGAACTTAATGGTTCTAGTATAATAATGTCATGATAATTGTTATCCTAAAAGTCTGTTTGTTCTTGATTTTAAAATTTCCTTGTAAAACTTTGTAGTTGTTATCTGTTCACTTTTTACAGAAATATAACTTCTGAAAGACAACGTAAAAAGCATATTAAGATGGTAGACCATCGGTCCAGAGAAAATGTGACAATGGCTCCTAATGCTAACGCTGACCATGCTTAATAGAAGAGGTGGCTTTCCTCCAGTCATCTTTTATATTTCAAAGTGCCAGATAGAATTATAGTAGTTAAGATTAAAAACTACTGCTCCCATTTCAAGAATGGTGCACTGACCTCCTGGGTATTCAACCGAGACTTAGAGACCTGAAACTAAAAAGAATAATTGAGCTAAGAAGACTGCCAACATTCTGGCCTTTGCCCTCTGAAATCAGCCAGGACCCAGGGCATGAGGGGATCCTTCTGAAAGGTCCCTGCAACTCTGGTGAGTCACCCAGTCTCCTGAGTGGAGGCATTGTTGGACCCCAGAGGCACGACTGAAGTCAACAAATGTGCACTTTACAAAATAGGAAGGTCACTAAAGAGAGAAATTTGTCCCCATGCTTAAAAATAAAAAGCCATATGTTAAGCAAGGCTGTGATACAACTGGTGGGAGGAAAACAAGCGGAGCTAAGAGGCGCCTCCCAGGGCTCCAAAAGTAGCCTTTGAGGAGCCTTAATTGACCTTGACAAATTATATATATATAATTTTTTAAAACTTTGACTTGGTCTTAAACACCCACCCAACAGAGGAAAGTATAACAAAAAATTAGAGTAATAGTCCAGAGTTTGATCCCCGGTACCGCCCCCCCCCAAAAAGTGTCCATCAGCCTCTTAGTATATTCCCATAATGTTATTTTAATGTACTTTCAAGTATCCCTCCAGCAGAGATTTAGCTTCTTGTGTAGGTATGCCTATAAAATAAAGGCATGACAATATAAATATTCCAGCTACTAAGCATTGTTACTTTTGTGGTATGAACTAATTTTCTCCTATCTACTTCAGACTTTATATTATCTGGAACTGGTCACTATGAAAGGTCTTCAGGTCTACAAATAAAGGCTGCACAGGCTGTAAGTCCTATAGTGAAAAACATTAATGGCCCAGTAGTCTTACACACACACACACACACACACTCACTATATATATATATATATATATATTTCTTAGTGAAAAAATGGAGGATTCTCCATGCCCTTAAACTCTCCCTGTTGTTAACACCTCTGGACAAACACAGGTTAATATAAAAGAGAAAAGGCTTATGCCAAATGCTGCCTAATTGTCAGACTTCTACAACTTTTTGGAGTCACTATTCATTAATATTTTATTTTTAATTTTTAGTCCCTGCTTATTTAACAGGCTTATAAAATGAAGCTTGAGTGTCAGTGACTTACCAATGCTCTTGTCCTCTGTTCCAGACCATCAAGTGATGATTGTTCATCGAACAAGACTCCATCTTCCTTTGTCCCCTTAGATCAAGGTGAGACTTTTGCTCCCTGGCTGGGAAGGTCAAGGCCCCTCCTCTGCCTGAAGCAGCCATGAAAAGGCAGACCTCCCATCCCTCCACATCCGTTAAGATTAAGGGATCTACTGGGGATGTAGCTCAGTGGCACAAAGCACAAGGTCCTGAGTTCAATCCCCGGTACCAAGAAAAAAAAGAAGAAGAAGGGATCAAAGTCACAGAGGGTGTGTGTGAGGTAAACAGGAAAAAATAAAGACAGGTAAAAAGGAGTCAAAGGAAAAAGTCATAATTTAAAAAATAAAAGCTGAAGCTTCAGGATACACAACCAGTTTAAAAAGTGTTTTTTCTTCTTCTTTTCTCCCAAGACACAATAGGACCAAGCAATTCCCTTTTACCTGCAAATGGGTTTTCCTATTGCTTTTTGCCTGTGAATAGACCACCTCTTTTCACCTGTAAAATAGACCTTTCCTCCAAATAGACCTCCCTCTTCCCCCTGCAGCCAGAGCTGTCACCTTGTACCTGAAAAGCGAATTCCCCCTTTCTGTATTCACAAGTTCTCCTGGCTTCCACCCCTAGGTCTCCCATAAACATAGCAGCCCCAGATGATGACGGCCTCACGGTCTCTTGAGGGCCCACACTCTACTTCTTTGAGCGTGTACTTTTAAAATTCTGCCTGGCAAATCCCTCTATGCCTCTTACTGACTAGTTCTGAAAATGTTTTCCATGAGGGAGTCATTAAATTTACCCAATGGGTGGGGTGGGTTTCGGTTCCTCATCTGCACTGTAGAAACCTCCCAGGTCCCTGTCTGTGGGATGGCACCAAAGTCTGGGCCAAGCTCACTGCACCTCTGGCCAGCGAGGGAATTTCTTTGCACAGATGCAAAAGCATTTCCTTCCCTCCTCGGCCCTCTTCTTGTTTCAGATTACTGTGTTGTCTCCCTCCTTCTCCCCGACTTGCATGATGTGTTCTCTGTCCTCCTTGCTGTGGAAGGAGGAACCAGATCTCAGCCCTACCTCTGCCCATTGCTCGGTGTGAGAGCACCACGTGATCAAAGCCCAGAGATGTGAGATGGCTCCACCCCTGGCTGCCCTCTGCAGCTGATCCCGAGCACCTGGTGGCCTCTTTTGTGGCTGCCCTTGTGTGCCGTGTCGGAGCCCTGCAGAGCCGCAGCTGCCTGGGCTCCTGGGGAGAGCGGGGGAAGGAGAGGCTGGGCTCCAACACACGTGGGCCAGGTCTGCGTCCCCTCGAGGGTCCCCGGAGGGATAGTGAGAATGGACGGGGTCAGGCAGGAGTACAGAGAACATGACGAGAGGGAGACAGAGAGACAGAGAGGAGCAGACAGAAACAAAGACCCTAAGGAAGAGGAGGCCTGGAGAGGTGAGCATCAGAGGGTGATAATCATCAAGGCAGCAGCCTGGTGGGGAACAAGACCAGAAGCCCCAAGGTGGAAGCACAGAGTCCAAGAGGGAGAGGAGGGAAGAGAAGAGAGGGCAGTGGTGAGAGCCGCCTGCATGCCAGGGCCCTGCTGCCCCCAGCACTCCAAGCCGAGCTCCTTGCCGCATGATGGGGCAGGCTGACCTGCAGGCGTCCTCTACCGAGCAGCCAGCTCAGACTGAAGCAAAAGGAGAAAGGCTCTGCCTACCCTGGCCACCACACAGCCTACAGCCTGGCTGCAGAGAAGGTGCCTCTGAGAGCTGGTGTGGCTTCCCGGGCAGCAGTGTCCATGCCCGCAGGAACACTGGAGCCCAGATTCACGGAGCGCAGGGGTCATTCAGCATGCAGACCATCAACTTCAGATGGCCTTTTTCTGGCCTAGTCTGGGGGCCTGTGGCTGGGGCTGCTGGAACCTCTGGATGGACAGAGGACCGCGGGAAATCAGGACTTGCCTAGAGTGGTGTAAGCTGTCTCTGAGAAGGTGGAGTGGGATTAGCACTGTCTCTAGGAGAAAACCCTAGTCTTGGGGGTGTCAGCCCGGGCATGACCCTCAAGGAAGTGTAACATCCATAAGGGGATCATTGACCCTTGGTGTGACTCCCCTGGTTGCCTTTGGTTACTTTTGCAGCATCTCCCCCCTGAGCCCCATCACACGAACCTCAACATCAGTTTCTACCTTCACTCACCTTCATCGTGCTGAGCTCAGTTCAATCTTCACCGTGATTTCCTCTCATGCCACAGCCCCTGTGCCAGCATTTCATATGGGTGTGTGGAAATTACCCAACTTCTTGTGTGAGCTCTGAAGACTGTGTTATTCTAATTTCTGAACCTCTCATGGCCTGAGCAGAGAACATTGTAAGTACTTTATAAATACTTGCAGAGGAAGGAAGTCCATACAAGGGTGAAAGGAATTTTCTTTCCAATCCCGAAAGTTTGATAAATGTAGTCTATACAACAAAATCACAATAGATAGATGAACAAGAGAAAAGGAACATAAATGTATGAACACACGAGTGCAGGGGAGTCACACAAAGTTTGAAAGTCAAAGAAAGGACACATGGATGAAGTTTAAATATCCTGCTGATAAGGGAGTAGGAAACGGGCTGTGGACAGTCTTTGAGGAAGGGGAAATGACAGGGTGTGAAGGCCCCAGAGAAGAGTTTGCCTGGGCCTTGGGTGTGGAGTCAACTCTGCTCTTCCTGCAATGAGTTTAATCTTCCTTGGCTGGTGAGCTGACAGGGTCAAAGTAGAAGGTAGCTTTTTTGGTGGATGCCATCTTTAGGCAGAGAAGGGGCTTTCAGGGCAAAGCCTTCTTCTACATTTGCTGTTCTGCAGAGCTGTAAGTCTCTAGCCTAAAGTGGTCTATTTTGGGGTATCATTTTCTGGACACAACAGAGGAAAGGAAGACAGGGAAGAAGGAAGGGAGGGGCCAAAGTCACTTTCTTGGTGCAAGGACATCTTTGAGATCCAGTGACACAGTTTGGGTTTCTGTTTTTCGAGGTCTCTTTATGCCTTGGCAAGTCTTTCTGGTGTTGGATTGGAAGAGCGCCATAAAGGAGGCCACAGCCAAGCCTGTGCCCAGTGCCCTGGGAAACGAAGGGGCCTGACGATTCCTTAGGAACAGCAGCAGCAGGGGAGACAGCAGCAGGAACTGTGGCTGTGCAATTCCTGAGGATGCTTTTTCCCAAGCCCCTCCCCTCTGAGCCTTAGTTTCCTAATCTGAAAGTGTGAACTAGAACAACGCCCATGTGGCTATTATCAGCGGGAACGAGCTGACCTGGGTCTCGTGGCGCACTCAGCACAGTCTTGAGTGCATAAAAGCATTCAGCTCACATTAAGTGACAGTCAGGAGTCTGTCTCTGACATCTGTAGGGCTCTGCTCAGCAGCCGTGAAAAAATGGGTTCAACACCCAGCCAGCTAGTGACTGAGAGTTTGCATTTTTCAACCCAAAGACAACAGTGCAGCCAAGTGCAGCTGTCAGGTCCTTTGCTCTTATTGCTGTTTTATGTTAGGGTCCTGGAAGGCTGCTTTTCTTCATGTTTTCTAACACCTCAGGAATACTGCGGCATTTTCTACTGATTCCCTCCTGGGGCCATTCTCTGGTTGGCTAGGGCTCTCTCGCAGGTGTGGGGGTGACTCTGGCCATGGGGCAGCTGAAGTTACCTGTAAGGAACAAGATCCCAGCAGTGGTATCCCTGGCGGCATGGGGAACCCTCCTTCTCCTCTGAGTCCGGATTTGGTCCTGAGGAAGACGTGTCACAGTAGCGGAAATAAAGGCCCTTTCTGCCCAGCAGGTGTCAGTGATGACTCTGGGCTCCTTGCCGTCAGAGGTCCACACAGCTGATGTTGTAGGTTTGAAATGTCCAGTGTGGAGTCCAGCGACACCAGCGTGAACTGCTGTTGGTGACACTGCAGGGTTCTCTTGGCCAAGGAAACAGAACTCAAGCTTCAGTACTTCTGCTAAACCAGGGGCTTTTACCCATTCTGTGGACAGCACAGCTCCTGCAACTACTTCCCTCATTGCTTGGTTCTGGGCAGCGAAGAGACTAAGTGTGCACTGCTCTCCGCCCCGAGCAGACCCTTTAGTGTGCGTTCCTGTGAGGTCATCTCACTTTTATGTTCCCATTCAAGGTTCTCTTCAGTCCCGCCATGGTTTTCCCTATTATTCTGGATGAAACCTGCCCAGGTGAGGGCCACAGAATCATGTCCCGACAATCAGCAGCCTGGGAAATCAGCCACTTTGTGTGCCATTGTCCCAGGCTGGTGCTGAACGCTGCGGCCATCAGCAGCCCCGACACCTGGGATTGCTTGGCTTGTATTTTCTACATTCATTGAAAATCCTGCCTTGTTGTTTATTTTCTTTCGGTCCCATGTGAGGCTGAGCTGTTTTTCACAACTCTTTGCGGGACTCGATACCTGATGGCAAAGGGAAATTAAAGTACATCCGTGGGCCAGGCACATTTTTGTGCAGACAAATGGTTTTCCATAGAAACTCGGTGACACTTCTCAAGCCCTTTCTTAAAGTGCCCCGACCTGCCCTCCTTTCGTCCCTCCCTTCCTCCCTCTCCTGCTTCTTTCCTCTCTCCCTCCTTCTTCCTGCCTTCCTTTCTCTTGCCCCATCCACCTTCTTTCCTTGTCTCTTGGATACGAATGTCACTCAAGCGATGTTCGTATTTGAGCATCTTTCTTTATTATTTCTTTATTATTTGAGCCTAAGTATTTTTAATCCATAAAAGGGAGATTTTAAAACCTCATAGAATGACTTTGGATTAAATTAAATTATTCACACAAAGCACTTAGCATATTTCCTGGCCTACTATTAGAAGGGCAAAAAAGTTAGCTATTATTGTTCCTTCAACAAGCATTTATGACATATTGCATGTTAAACGTGGCACATCCACAAACATTTCCCAAATAAAAAATTGTCTTTATTTCAATACACACAAATCACACACCAATTTGGAGGCAGAGAAGTACTGACATTGTGCTAATGATGAGTAGCTGTTAAAGTTCTGGGAGAAGCTGGGATCGTACCCTGCTTTATCTTCTAGAAGCTGTCAGGAGTTTTCGTTAGTTCTCATTTCTTTTCTTCACCCCATTTGTGGTTCCCCCATCCTTTTGCCCGAGACCCTTCTTCCCTGGTTTGGGGTTACCTGTAGGGCCTTCTTCTCGCGTGGCAGTTCCTACGACTGAATCCCCTGTCCATTTCTGCACAGCTGTGCAAATCAGCATGAAAAAGATGGCTCTTGCTGTTACATTTGTCCACTTTTCCCCTGACAGTAGCCAATGGCTCTAGGTTTCCTTCTGCTTCTATGAACCCGTTGTCCCTCTGGCTGCTACCAGCTCCAGTCACTCGCCATTCAGTGATGGCATAAGTGATTAATCTGTGACTAGTTTCCTTGGTCTTCCACAGAGCAAGCGCAGGGCCCATTCATCAAGATGACCAGGTAACTGAAGCAGTCCACCTTGAGCCAGGGCTGTGATGCTAGCCTGGCACTCTGTTGGGTTCAATGCAATAACTTTTCCTTGGTGAATCCCGGGCTCCTCAGCCTCCGGCAGAGTCCCATCATGGACAGTGGCTTTTCTGTAAATGCCTCTTCTCCTTACCACGTGCTTCTTTGGAACTTAATCTGAGACTGGCTTGAGCCACAGTCTTAACTTGATCTTGTTGCCCCTGAAGAGCCAACCAGAGGGAATGGGCTTCTACTGCAGTTCGAGGAGGGGAGCTGGCCCTGGAAGGACTTTCCCCCCAGGCTTGGAGAAACTGCTGTAGAATTCTGAGGAGGCCAATGGGAACTTTCTAAGAAAGCTCTAAGGGAGGGAATTAGAGGGATAGTACTAGGGTATGGAATGGGTGCCTCCCTCCTATCCCCAGTGCGAAGAAGGTTTAGAGGTGGAGGAGATCTTAGCAACTATCTATTGCAATCCCCTTCTCAATCCCACTCTTGGGATCGTTTTTCTTGGCATGAGTCCTCCTTGTCTTTTTTTTCATTCATTTCACAGATTTCTGTGATTTGGGATGTCATACTGACGGATCGTCACTGTCCCAAGTACAAGGTGACAAGACATCAAACAGCCTCAAGGTTGCCTCAAGACAGTCAAGTCTGTAAATCGGTAAACATCACCTGTTGTTTTAGAGGTTCTTCTGCAAGGGAGGGCTTGCGCTCAAGAGGGTATAATCTCTTCCAGCCAATGGCTACCAACAATCACAGTGACGCGAAAACGTATAATCACCATAACAACAACAATAACAAAACCCTTCTCTGTGTGGCTTTGTCAACACACACACAAAGGCTCCAAAACTTGGGATTAGAGGAGGCTCGTGACTTCAGAATATGTTGCTGTAGAGACCCGGAGGACTGAGGTAGTCGGTTGCCCTCAGAGTGCTTACCGCAGCCCAGCAGACCATGCAAAGTCTTGCTGCTCCTCTTAGGATCCAAATCTTCCAAAATATGGAACTTTATCTTCTATCAGTGGGCTGCCTTAGGCCTTTAGGGGCCCGAGCAATGATGTGGTTACACTGTCTCACAGCTGTCCCCCACAGAAGTAACCTATAACACTTAAAACTACAGTATAGGGAAGACTGCCTCTGTTCTGATTTCTCTCACAATAACTTCTTGACATTCTCTTAAAAAAATCAAATAATAAGCTCTTAAACAAAGATCCTGGTGTTCCTGCCACGTTGATAGTTCCCCCCTCCCCGAGTTCCTTACTTGCTCCAGTCTGATCGCCGTCCTAAGCTAGGACTTGCTGGGATCCTAGACTTCCTTTATGGCTCTTTCTTTCTGCCTGTAACATTTCTACTTTTCACGTAAACATCTGTTCAATTCCCAGACACATTTCACTGCCAAGGCCCTTTCCCGACCACGGAAGCTTCCACTGATTATTCCTACAAAGGAAGCTCTCTAAATTTCCACGCAAAGTGCTATCCACCTCACTTAATATGCCACTTGGTGACACAAGGCACATCGCTCTTTAATGCTTGTGTTTAATTTTCAAGCATTCCTATGCTGTTTTCCTAATGGGCTTATGAGCTTTCTGGGAGCAGAGCTTGGGTCTTCCATTTCTGTGTCTCTCCCCTGGGTGCTGCGCGGTTTGTAGACAACACTCCTGTTTCTATAATGCTTGCTCCTTGACTCCATACCTCTAATCAGAGGGATAAAAGACTTTAGAGGGAAAAGTCTCTGAATCTTTGAGATTATACCCCATGGAGATACTGCATTGGTCATTATTTGTGTGTCAAAGGAACAGTAAATTAAAATGCTCAACGAGAGAACAATTAGCATCAAAGTAGAAATATGAAACTTAAATATCTCATAAAAACTCTTAGACTCTCATTATGTGCACATTCTCCCTTTCTACCCCATCTCCACTACCCACCAAGCCCTCCCACTATACTCCAGATTTGAGTCTAGGTCTTTGGGAGCTATTATCAAAATATTGAAATACCTCACTCATTAATGCCTCAGCTTCAGTGATCTCATTGGCTTAGTCACCCTCACTGAGCAGGGCAGGAGGAGGACCAGCAGAGGCTGGGTGGAAGTTCATGGAGGGAGATGGAGGTAGAAACGTCTGGAGTTAAGATTCCAACTGCTCCTGGTTCAGTTCTCAGTTCTTCAGTTCTCTCTGGATTAGGGCAAGAAACAGAAGGAAAACCACCAAAGGAAATGGAAGTGCCTCAAAAGACAGGTGGTTCCCAATGCCAGGTGCTGCGGAGAAGCAGCATGAACTGTAGGAGTGACAGCTTTTGCCATGCCCTGCCCATGAAGACAGCGGGGTCAGGAAATGGGAAGCCGAGATGGTGTAAGGTGGCAGCTGTAGATCGGGCCTTAAGTAGTAGGTGAGAAAACAGAGGGAGCAGGATGAGGGGCAGGAGTCAAGGAGGAACAAAGATGCAAGAAAGTCTTCTGGTTTTTGGAAAAGGACGAGGACCCAGGGAGCCAAAATGACTGAGGGTTCAAGAAGCGGGGCCAGTGATAAGACCAGGGTGCCAGGTGGGATGGAATCGGGTGCGGGAGGATGTATGAGCCAGCGGGGGGGGGGGCACGTCCCCTCTGAGAAGCAGGTGAGTGTGGCTGATTTTATAGCGCACGACATCAGAGGTCTTCGTAAGTGTCAGTAGCCAATTAAATCTGAGTTCGAGCATGGCTTGGGGCTATGGCCCATCCAGGACCAGGGCTCTTCTCTGTGCTGTTCTCATGTTCTCTCCATATCTGCCTCGTTGTTCTCTCAGCCCCTGCAGGTCCTCAGCTTTGTCAGTTTGGTGAGGAAACAAGGCCACCACTAACTCTCCAAGTGTACATTTTAATAGCTGCCATCACGGGAGAGACTGGATTGACTATCTTGGCCCCAAACCCAAAATTCTAGAGGAAAGTTCTCACCGGTCCATGTGACCCTGTTCTCACTGGCCCAATCATGGGTCAGTAAGCTGTGGCCAGGCTGTGCCCAGGAGCCAGCCCTCACAGGAACAGAGTACAGAGTAGACGGAGGGGCAGTTTTCACTGAAGAGTGGTGAACAAAACAAGAGGCCTTCAGTGAGAGAGAGTTCAGAGGTAAAGGAGAGTTTAGAAGGCTTGAGAGGCTCCTAGTCAAGTTCCCCCTTGGTTTGTTTTTATGCTGTTCTTGGTGAAGTTAAGGCCTCTGCCAACAATCAGAGGCCAGATGAGGTCTCAGGCTACAGAAGGTCTGGAACTCCACCATGTCTGCCACCAGAACAAGTGAGCAGCAACGAGAAGCATCTGAGGGTAGAAAACAGAATTGCGTCATGGGACCGACCCACATTTATTCATTTAATGAACATTATTGATGAGGATCTCCATTATCATCCAGCATTCTGGACATAACAACATTCAAAATAAGCAGTTGGGCTGAGCCAGGGTTACAGAGTGGAAATATAGGAGCTCCAGGCACAGGCTGTAAATGAGCAGAGTTGAGGGGATGGGTGGAGGCAGGGGGAGACTGTTCCACAGAGAAGGACTGGGTTGATGAGCTCAGGGAGGAAGTGGAGAGAGGGTAGGCATCAGGGAGCAGTTAACAACCTGCTGCTGTCTCATGGTGCTTCTTTGGCTGCCCATGGAGATGCATCCTTGGGGAGGATGAACATCTCATCTGCTCAAGAAGAATCTATGCAGTAGCAATAGTGCCTCTTTGTTGAGACGTCTCAGTGTGGATGGCGAGGCGCCGGGCCAGCCTGCACGAGGCCAGGGTGGAAAGGATGACAAAAATGAACTCTTGGGGATACCCACTCCTTCATGCTTCAGAGCTTCCCACCACGTGGTCTGGAGACAGTAAACGCTCTCAATCCGACTCTCTCCTCTGGATCCTTCCAGGGGATGCTGGACGTAGATTTGGGGGTCTTAAACAAAGGATCCAAGACAGAAACCAAGCTCCCATGCCCTGCCTGGCCTGCCGGCCCTCTGCAGAGGTGGGCAGAATGGCCCCACTCCTTGCTGGCGGCAGGCACGGAAATACTGCCTATACCCAAACTGGGCTCCTAGGGGCAATCTGGTGCACCCACAGTGCCTCCGGCCGGGACGTCTCAGAAACCACATGCAATTTCTGACCACCCTCTTCAGCTATCCTTGTCATGAAAAAGCCAGGGCCCTGCCTTGACCATCTTTGTATCTGCCATGTTAGAGACCAATAGTCCAAGGCAGATCCTCAATCCATGATCACAGGGGCTCCCGCCAGAGGAATCCAAGTGGGTGGTTTTGAACCTGCTTTGCAAACCCCAGTGTGCAGCAGTATGCACGAGAGATGGGGTGAGGCAGGCAGGAGTTAGGGAAGAAATCCTCTGGACCCCAGCTGATCAATTTAAGCCCTAAAGCAGTGGCGGGGCAGGCGGTGGCACGGAAAGCTCTGAAGGGTTCGCCAGCAGTGCTCTACAGCTGAAGGAATCACATCCAGAGTAATTTCATCCAGGTCAGAACGTGCATGCTTACTGGGTGAGACGCTAATCCTTTCTACCTGGGATTCACCTGTGAAACACGACGCCCGGGGTTGTCCAAGCGCCGGTCCGCCCGGCCCAGTGGGCAGCCGTCCGGGCCCCGTCTGGGTTCTTGGCTTCCAGGTGAGCTGACACCTCTGGGTGACGGAGGAGGCGCGCGCCTGTGGACTGGGGGGACAGGAGAGGGAGGTGGGAATGAAGGGAAACACCAGGTGTTGGAGTGGGTGGCCACAGAGACGCCGGAAGAGAAGACTCCAGGAGCTCTAAGGTTCACCGCAACCCAAGACCCCAGAGGCCAGGGACAGGGAGGCGCCCGGTGGGGAGGCTGCGGAAAGGGGTGCCCCGGGGTGCGCGCTCGGGATTTGCAGCGCGGTGGCTGCTTCGGGATCCAAAGCAGGAGACCCCGTCAGAGTGTGGCTGCCCACGCTGCACGGCCAGTGACGCCGGAGCCGCTCCCCGGACGGTGCCCGGGGTGACTGGAGCCGGGGTCTGGGGGCGGGGCGGGGCCTCGGGCAGGGGCGGGGGCTGCGGGTGGCCCGGAAGGCAGCCCAGGCCGGGACCCCGTGGACCGACGGAGGGATCCTCTTCCGTCCGGTCCGGTCCGGTCCGCCCCTCTTCCCCCTCCCCTCCCCCGCGCGAGGTTGGACCTGGGCTTTAGTTCTGTATGGACGAGGACGCTGATTTCTTTTCGTAGTTCCTTAAGCTTCAGACGTTTTTTCAAATCATACATTATGTTTTTTCCTGTTCAGAAAAGTACAAAAAAGAAGAAAGTGAAAACCACAATTCCCAGTCATTCCACCCAAAGATAATCATTGTTGACATTTTGTGATCATTCTGGATTCTTTCTATACACAGTTAACACGTGGATATAGGCGTATATTTAAAATCAGACTACACATGATATTTTGTCTCTTGTATTTTCACTTAACTTGTCACAGACATGGAAAACGAAGAAAAATTGCTATCATTGTTTCTAATGGCAACATAATATGAACCGTAATCTATTAACCGATTGCTGTTGCTGGAAAATTTCTTCCTAAATTTTATGCATACAGTTTTGCACACGCAGTCTGTTAGTTTTCTTAAGGTAAACTTCTAGAATTAGAATTACTGGGTCAAAGGATACTGGCATTTAAAATTTGTAGGATTATTTCTGTATTCTGGGTTG